AGGGCCGGGCGTCCTTGGCCGGCAGCGCTCTGGGGCGACCCTCGGAGCCCCCTCTCCCGAGCCGCCTGCCGTGCAGCGGGCAGGCCGGACGCCCCTGCCCGGCGGTGCTGTGACGGGAATAGGGGCCGCGGGACGCCGGGGCTGTAGCCTCCCTGCACCGGGAAATCAGGGCGAGGCTGAGAAGCCCTCGGATTTCAAAGCCAGGATGCTCGAGTTGGAAAGGGAAAGTACCTGACAGCCCGGGATGAGTGGGGCTCATGATTTTTTTTTTTTTTTTAAATCACTGAGTCAAAACAAAGACACGCCCTAAAACACGTCTTGAAAAAGAACTTTGGTATATTTATACCGTATCTATAGGTTCAGGTGCCTTTTCCTCCTCCCCCTCCTCCTCCTCCTCTCTCTCTTTTTCTGACATCTATATTTATGCAGTTTTAAATGTACCTACTTTCTTGACAAAGTAAAGGGAGGGGGTATTTATTTGAGATGGTCGTTGGTGCTAAAACCTGACATTGGATTTCAATAATTGCAAATTCATCTCTGCTGCTACCTAGCCAATTAGGCTTGCTGATTGTAGAGTAGGCCTTGGCAGTGGAAATTACTGGCGCACAGACTCTTTGCCGTCCCAGATTGGAATGTCCTGTTTCACTTAGAGAAGCCAGGTATAGGTGCATGCCTTTAATCCCAGCATTCAGGAATCAGAGACAGGTATATTTCTGTGAGTTCTACGCTAGCCTGGTCTACATAGCAAGCTCGAGGCTAGCCTTAATTCTTTTGATCGAGAACATTAAGTACCAATAGATATATGTATTTAGATAGTTGATTAACATATTGTCATTTAGACTAAAAACACTTTAATCACATTTAAATTGCAAGGTAAGCACAAGATATGTCTTATAATGTGTAGTCTATAATTGGTAAGGATGTAAACATTGATGAACTGTTTGCATGGATTCAGTCAGTCTTCTTTCCAGACTTTCTTGATATTTGTGTCTCTTCATTTGTTAAAGCACATTGCTCTTATATGGTGGGTTTTGTTCTTGTTCTGAACAACATTGACCTCAATCTCTAGGTTAAAAATACTTCCAAACCTTAACGTGTAATTTGTATTGTTTCTTTAATATGCCATAAGAAAGAGCCATCCTGAGAGCAGGAACTTTTTACGTTACCTTTCCTCAGGTAGAAGTTTCTGCTTGTTGCCTCATTGCTTTGACTGTGTTGAGGGAAGAAGAGAATTTTAATGTCACGCTTAGAAGTCCTTCAGTGACATCACAGTCTGTGCTGGGGAAATCCAGTCTTTCCCAATTTCTGGAGCTTATCTCCATTCTCATTTCATATACAAGTAAGTATGTCGTCTCCATGCGGCTATTTGCAGTTCACAGAAGATGAAACCTTCCTCTGTTCCCTCTGTCCAGAATTGTCTTCCCAGTAAACGTTTTGCTCTTATAACCTCACAAAAGTATTGAATTTGAGTCTTGTCCACGTGTCTCCCATCTTTTTTTTTTTTTTCTTCACGGATCCAGTAGCGCCATTCCATTGTGCACTTAATATTTTGTCAATTGGAAGTTCATGGTTTGCTTAAATATATCTCCCCAAGGCTTTTGAGTTCTTTTGAAGTTTGCTGGTGCAGCACATACTGCTAAAGTCTATTTCCTGAATGCATTTTGAGGAAAAGGTCCAGGCTTGAATGCAGATTTAAGATAAGTGAAATATGTTTAGATTGTCTTTCAGTACCAGAAAACTTAGAAAAGAATATCATTTATTACTTTTTAAAAATGACTTATTTATTTTTTATTTTATGCAGTTTGCCTGCATGTATGTCTGTGTGCAGGTGTCAGAATCCTTGGAACTGTAATTACAGACTGAGCTGCCATGTGGGTGCTGGGAATTGAACCAGGATCCTCTGGAAGAGGAGCCAGTGCTCTTAACTGCTGAGCTCTCTCTCCAGACCCAGCGTTGCTACTTTTATTTGTTTAAGGATGAAATAAAAATTGATACTGGTTAGGGATGACATCCTGGTTATGATGGAAAAAAGTCAATTTTCTTCAAGATGGAGAAATGAGAAGATCATGGCCAGTAAAGGGTTGGTCTAGAACTTCATTTTTAGGTTCAGTGATTTGCCCGCAGTCCTATGGATAGAAAGGGACAGAGCTGGGAATACAATCTAAGTCTTTTGACCATTTTTTGGTTCACCTTTACTCTCCTTTATCCTAATTCTAAATCCAAATTTTTTAAAAATTACATTTATTGTGTGTGTGTGTTCACATTCACACATACTCATGCTCCTGTGCCAGAGTGTGTGTGTATTATGATGTGTGTGGAGGTCAGTTGTAGGAGTGGATTCCCTCCCCAGCATGTGAATGCTGGGGATAGAGCTTTGTCAGGCTGGCAAGCAGCACCTTAATCCACTGAGCCATCTTGTCCCCTCCTCCCTTTTAAAGAGTTTCACTATAACCTAGGCTAGCCCATAACTCTATGGGTTGCTCAGCTCAGGCTGACCTCAGATCTCTGCAGCCCCTGTCTCCGCTTTCTGAGTGTTAGGATAAGAGAAACAAGCCATCAATGCCTAGACTGTAATTCTTAGTAGAGGTTTTACCATCATGGTGAGGTCTGAGAGAGGTGGATATTTATTAGAGGACTATATTAGTAGCTATTGAAGTTGAAAGATTTCACAGATTGTTTGGTTCAGTGCTAAAACTTTTTCATTTTGAACAATCAGAGCCTGAAAAAGCAAGTAGCTTGCCTCTGTGTCCATTCGACCTCTATGTTGCAGCTCCTGACTTTATATTTGTGTGTTTCTCACTGCTCTGTGGAGAAGTCTGCTTGTGCTTCCCTCCTCCTCTGAGTCCTCAGCTGCCACTCCTAGGGACCTAAAGCCCTTGAGTGGCTAAGAAACGTGATACCTCATTTGGGAAAATGGGAGAAACTGGGCCCTTACCACTCCACTGGGCTGCAGCTTGCAATTTGGTGTTGGGTGCCTCTGGTCACCATATGGAGATCCTGCACAGTTCCTTCTGATGGTGAAGTGAGATTTCAATATAATGGGGTGACAGCCTGGTAATAGCAGAGCTAAAATTACATGTGTAGCTTGCATGTTGTGAGAAAAGCTGCTCTGATTACTCCTGTAATAGTTTTTTAGTGACAAAAAATGATTATTGTAGATTTAGGTTTCTAAAAAGTTGGTTTTTAACTATGTGCTTAGTGTAGTGGGCCTGACCAGTTCCAAGAGGCGTTTTGTTGTACAAATGGTCAAAGAAATAAAATCAAAAGAAATTATTCCTTGTTTCTTGTTAGTTCCATATAATTTTATATCATTGATTGATTGGTGTGTAAATGTAATCTTTAACCTGTACTTTCATATTTGATAGGTTTTCTTTTTTCAGTTTTTATACCTTGGGTTATTATACAATGTTATAGAGAATAGTTACTTATTTCTAAGTGGACATGTAAGTTGCTTGTTTTGTAAGTAGTACAGTTAGTATTTAGGTGTTCTGGATGGCCTTACTAGAATGCTGCTCCCAGTCCTGTTCAGGATTCTACAGTTACTATATTGCCACATATTCATCAACTTTTTTTCCTGTAGGCTAAAGGCTTATGGGAGGAATTACAGTATCAGAGGGTATGAAGGTTTTGTCAGTTTTAAAAGCTCTTGCTAGATTTACTTTAGAAAGATTTGTATTTCTTCCAGCAGAATTCAGTTGACTAATTTTGTCAATACTTCCATGGCCTTTTGTTTTGAGTTTATCTTAAAAAAAAATGAAGGTAAGAGTACTTTCTGTCTTAACAGTTAAAGGCATATGCAGGTTTTATTTTCTTCTCTTTATGAATAGGTTGTCCTTGTCCACAAATTCACTGAACTATTCTTATTAGCATTAACACTGAAATATTATCTTTGTTAATCTTTATATTTATTTATTTAAGACAGAGTTTCATGAAACCTAGGCTGACCTTGAATCCCGATCTTTCTTATTCTACCTTCCATGAATTATAGGCATGTATCAACATACCTGACTTATTTTTTAGTACTAAAGACTTGGTAGCTTTTTAAAATTTTATTAGAATCATTGACTTTAAAAAATACTTTGTAATTTTGTCTTTTAATTGTGTATGATGGTACCCCACCATCTGAAGTATTGTGTTATTTGGCTTCTAGAGCTGTCCTCCTATCTCAGTCCCCCTTAGGCTGGAATTATAGGCATTAGCCATATTTCTGTTTGGTGCTTACTTTTGAAAGATGAATTATGGGAACAAGTATTAATTAGAACATTTAGTAGGATGCTTCTCAACTCTTTAGCCTTATAATCTTGAATACCTTAATGGTTTTTTGCTTATGTGAATTATAATTTTTGATATTTATCCAAGTATAAATATACATTTATTTTTGATTGCTTAAAGTAACAAATCCGTAATATATTAAAATTGTGATAAATTTTAAACAAACCAAAGCCTTCATGAATGTAGTGTACTTGTTTAAGTTTTTGTTTGTTCAGGGTTGATCAGAAGGTCACTTCTGATTTAACTTGAATTGTTAATTATTTAAAAGCTGCAAATGAAAACCTTGTTAACTGTTATTTATTTATTTATTTATTTGGGGGAAGTGATGTATTCTAGACAGATAAG